GTGAATAACAATATACCCTGAATAAACCAAGTAAATTCTAAAATGTTCTATTTTGGGCTTTATTAATAAGAAATGGACTTTTAGAACATTTGAAATATTGAATAAGTGACTAAGTGCTACACGCATACTATAATAAAATCTCTTCAAACTAGCATGGTCTAAATTCAGAAATTTAAAAGGGAATGTGTAGTTCTTATATCCAGTCACGGGAACAGATGAGGCTTTATTGCTTAGAAGTACCAACATAGTTTTAAAAATAAGAACTATGGGTAATTACTATATTAATAGTATACAGGGGAATCTGGATTTTTCTTAGTGGTAGGGGAAGTAAGACACACAAATGCTCCATGTGGTCATGTGTTACAGTGCCATAGTGAGGCAAAGGTAGACAGAGATTACTTTTGATTTAAGAGATTGGAGCAGAGTTCATAGGAATGGGTAAGAATAACATATCCATGAGAAATGGGTGGGGAAAATGATTTCAGGAGAATAGTGTGCACTGTGGGAGGAAGCAGGAGGTAGACCCGGGGTTGTGGTGGGAGTGGAGGTATCTAATTGACTGTCCCTGGCACATGCTGTCACAGGGCACTGTGTGGGCAGCTGGCAATAAGCTACATAGATAATGCTGGGCTAGAATGGCCTGGGGAAAACTGGCAGCAAGGAAGGGACTTTCAGGCTAGTCTTTGAGGGAAGGGAAGGATTTGATTAGGAATCTGGGTGTTCTTAAAGAGCATAGACACCAAGACAAAAACAAGGGCAGTAAGACAGACCAATTTGGCTCTATTGAGGTTGAGAAGAAAAATTAAGTTAGCTGGACTGAGAACCTTGAATACAAGGCTAAAGAACTTAAACGTTATCAGGAATGATTTTGGGTTTCTTGATAACTCCCCTGCTTTAGAAACCTTTAGTGATTAGAGCAATGTTTTGAGAATATGATTAGAAGTATGTGGAGAGGTTTTGGAGGGTGGAACAAAGACCAGAAGCAGAGGCACCAGTTACGATTGAATAAATCTTGTAATGATATTCAAAGATGTAAAAGTTAAGGGAGACGGGCTGGGCGCAGGGGCTCACACCTATAATCCCAACACTTTGAGAGTCTGAGGCAGGCGGATCGTTTGAGGTTGGGAGTTTGGGACCAGCCTGGCCAACCTGAAACACCGTCTCTACCAAAAACTACAAAAATTAGATTAGTGGTGGCACATGCCTGTAATCCCAGCTACTCCAGAGGCCGAGGTGGGAGAATCACTCGAACTGAGGAGGCGAAGGTTTCATGAGCCGAGATCCTGCCACTGCACTCCAGCCTGGGTGACAGAGTGAGACCTTGTCTAAAAAAAAAAAAAAAAAAAACAGGGTTGGGGGCTGATAGAGAAATTAATTTTACAATTTAATACCCAGAATTGAGTATTTGATGCTTTGAGGGAGAATACTCACTTAGTCAATAGATATTTAATGAGCACCTATTATGTGTGGTAGACACTGAGTTTACCAGACATGGTAACTCAGTGGGGAACAGAAAGACAAGTGGTCTCTGCCCACCACATGGAGCCTACATTTAATGAGAGAGACAGAAAACAAGTATATATAAAAATATATATACTTTATATATAGTTACATATAATTTTATATAACATAAATATAGTTAAAAACTGTATAATTTACAATATATATATACGAAGGGGAAAAGCAAGGTAAGGGATAAGGCAGTGATGAAAAGAAGGGAGTATTTTAGTCTTGAGAGAACTTTGGGTAGAGTGGAGACCTAACCAAACGGAGGGAGAGAGGGGGCCTCCTGACTGCCTGGGGAAAGAGCATCTTTAGCAGCCAGTTGTAGGCATTGAGTGCCTGAGACCAGCAAGACATTCTGGCTGGAGTAGAGCTGGAAAGGGAAGACTGGTAGGAGTAATAACGTGCAATGTAACCAGGAATAGAGCCTTCAGGGTCCTGAAAGCCATGGTAAAGAGTTTAATTTTACTTCAGATATGATGGAAAGGCACGGTAGTTCCTTGATATTTTTAAAAGATCCCTCTGGCAGCAGGGGTGATAAGGTGGTGACTCAGATGAGGCCTAAGGCAACAATGCTAGAGGTGGTGAGAAGTGATAGGATTCTAAACGTATTTTGCAGGTAAAGCGAAGAGGATTTATTGATGAGCTAGATGTGGACTGTGAGAGAAATAGAATCAAGGAATACCCCCCCCCACAGTCTGTATGGTGAATTTGTCTGAATTAGAAAAAGCTAATTCTGTCTCTGGCCGGAAGCAGAAGCACCACTTCCCAGCACCACTGGGTAAAGAAGCTCCCTTCCTCCCAGCACATGTACCTGGGTGCTAGGACACCTTGGTGGGAAGAGTGTGGGCTGGTAACCCGTGTTGGCCCTGTGGCCAGGCATCCTTGTGAAGGACTCAACCTGTATAAGTGAATGCAGCAGCACTGGATGACTCCCGAGTTTGTGGCCTGAGCAAGTGGATGAATTGTAGTGTTATCCCCAAACGGGGGGGACTAGAAGAGGAGCTGACTGTGAGTGGCAGAAGATACAGCAAAGCAAATTCCATTTTGGGTATAAGTCTGAGATGCCAATTAAAAGTCCTGGAAGCAACGTCAAGTAGGCGGACAGTTGTGAACTGGAGCCAGGGTAGGAAGCCAGCAGGGCTGTTGCTGTTTTTGAGTTTGAAATGACTATCAAGTGGAGCTGTAGGATTAGAGCTTAGGAGCAAAGATTTAGATTAAAGATGGGGAAGTCAGTCTGTCCAGAGGAATAGATGAATCATTTGAAGGGCGTTATATTGAAAAACAAGAAGATTGGACTGCCTTGGGAGTATTATTTGGCAGTGGAAAGTGGGTAATGAATCTGCAAAGCAGATGAAATTGTGTCTGTTTTAAGGTAAACTGAGGGAACTAATGAAGGAGGAAAAGTTAAAGATGCTAGAAACAAAGGGGATCAGTGAGGGAACAAGAGCAGGGCATCTGGAGGATAAGTGTTTGAAGGAATGGATAAAAAGTGAGTCTCAGAAATGAAGCTTTTTACTTTGAGCGATGAAAACAGTTTTTTATCTTTTCAGCAAAGTTGTAGTTAGGATCTTCTGTCTGTTTTTAGGGGTCTCTGCTGGTATTAAAGGTCTGAAGAAAGTATGGCAGGAACCAACAAGAAAAAAAAAAATTGTCAAGCAGTAATGAGAGACCAGGTGGAAATATGGAGAATAGTCCATAATAGCCAGTCAGCAATCTGTGGCCAAAGAGCAAAAAGGGAATTGAGAATTCAGAGTTGACCCCACTAAAAAAGAAAGACATTAAGGGCATCTGAAACAGTGGTTTATAACCCAGAAGAGTGCATATCAAAGTCACCTGGAGACTTTAAACAAAATTATGGGCTGAGCATGGTGGCTCATGCCTGTAATCCCAACAGTTTGGGAGGGCAAGGCAGAAGGACTGCTTAAGACCAGGAGTTCAAGACCAGCCTGGCCAACATAGTGAGACCCCATCTCTATAAAAAACAAACTCTATGCATTTACCTCCTTTCTCTAAAATGTATCAGACTGAGGTGTAGGAGTAGGACAACAAGAAATGGGAGAGATGTTTATGTATGCTTTTAGAACATTCTGGGTGATACTCTTTAGTTCTTTGTTTCACCCCCATTCCCCATTGAGAAAAGTGTTCTGGACTCTGGGCAGGAGTGGAAAAGGATGGCTGGGAGGGAAGCTAAAGGACTAAAGGTAAAGTTTTTTGAAGTGATATCAACGCAAATAGTAATAGTAGTATTTTGGGGGTGTGCTCAGCTAGTTAGGTTCCTGTACGGTAGACCTTTACAGAGCCTTTCATATGCCCATGAATCTCCAAGAGGGGGATTTAATATTTTAAGATCATACCCAGCCACAGGATCCTTATTTTCATGGACCATCTTATGGACTAGTTTCTGCAAATTACACTTTGAAAATGCTGAATTAGAGAACTGCAGCAATGGTCAGTTCCAGTTAATTTGGAAAGTTCATGGGTTTTGGAAGGGGGAAGCCATACTGGAAAGGGAGAATGTCCGGGTTAAGATCTTGAAGCACAGTTCAGGGCTGTGGCTTTGTTGGTGGAGAGCTGGGTAACTTTCCATTCCTCCAGTTAAACTTGTTTTCTACCACTGAGTGCAGCATCTGTTGAGTCATCAATATGAATGTTGAAGTTGCAAAGTGTAAGACAAAATGGGGGAATTTATGAAGTATTTACAAATATTCTGTGATCAATAATTTCTCATAGATAGGGATTGATAAAGTCTTTATGAAAGCAGACCAAAATCCAATGGCTTTTCAGATAACTAGACTTTTCTTCTTAACTATAAGAAAAGGAAAGTGGGTAACTGTCAAAGGTAGATACACTTTGAAATCTTGGAGCACTTAATAGAGGTGACTTAATATTTTGGAGCGGAGAAACCTTTTAAACACAGCAGTGTCGTAAGTTCTGAGAATGACCCAATTTGTACCACCTGGGCATTGAACTGAAGGCTGTCTTTCCAGTGAAGTAAAGTTTAAGATGACAGTTAACACTGAATGTTCTCTCTCAAGATTTGCAAAGAAGCCAGTGATTGGTGAGGATAGTGATTGTTGGCAGGGATTAGACATTTATATAGCATGATTTAATTTTTAATAATGTGAATGGTATCAGCATACAAACTTCCTCACAATATTGAGACATACAAAGTGGGAAGGCTTCTAAACAATTTTCAGTTGCTCCAACTATATGAGTTTCACAAAATTCCATTCTTTTGTGCCAAGTGATATTATTCCATTCCTTCCCTCATGTATCTTATCTTTATTATTGAATTTTCCCTCACAATCCACTGTTAAAAGAAGAAAATATCACACATGTGGGTTCTTTTGGCTATGGAAGTGTCCTTGAGATAACTTCTTGCACATGACTCAGGTGAAGTGTTCAAAGTGCATGGAAATCACTTACCAGTGACAGGTGGACATTGTATGTGTTTGTTTTCCCCTATGGATGCCTAAACTTTCTTTTCTTCACAGGTAAAGTCAGTGATAAATCTTTTGTTTGCTGCATATACTGGAGATGTGTCTGCACTTCGAAGGTATGTTTATAGGATGGATTAGCATGCACTTTACAGATATTTATGAAGTTGCTTCTGGGCGAGCAGCCATTTTAAGGTTAAAGTCTCACTTCTCTTTCCCTTTGATAAAAATGACCCCAACAAAATTTTTATTAAATAGGCACTTCCAGTGCCTATGGCCTGCTTTCCAATCTTGTCCTTTTCTGCCTCCTATAAAAAAGACGATATCTCTGTTTCCCCAAGTAGTAACTGTTTAGCTAATCTGGCTAATTAGTATCAGTGGCTTACTGGAATTGGACAGTGCCTTCTCACTCCCTGTCTACCCTCCATTCCCAGTCTTTGGGGGGTGTGTGTGGGTGGGAAGCAGCTAGGGGGTTTGGTGTCTAGCAGATCATCAGGACTAGTAAGGCCATATACTGCTGTATACCTAAGGTCTTTTGTATAGAGTTGTAACTTGTTTTCTTTTTCCTTTTGCTTTCTCCCATTAATACCTCAAACAACTGATTTTCAAAGTGGAGAAATGTCTATGCTTCCCCCCTTGTCTTAAAGTCTGACGAGTACTAGTAGACTGTGAAATGTTTAAGAATGGGAGTCCTAGTAAAAACATACAATTTTATTATAGGGATTAGTTTCTTGCCCTTCTGAGACATAAACCTTGGTACAGTTGTGCCATAATTCTTGAGTTTTGAACAGTAATGTAATAAAGTTTAATTCTGTGAGAGATGTTTAACATTTAATCTTACCTAAAAAAAGCAATGCTGAGGAAGAGAGGTGAAGTGGCATTTACCCAAAACACCTGTGTACTGGTCAATAAGGTTGGTAGTTCTCATTAATGAGCCTGATGAAGGATGGCACCTGTCTGACAGGGCCTTAAATGAACTGATGGAGTGAATGTTACAAGTGTGAATTAAATTTGCTTTATATATAATAAATAGCTGTGCTTACACATTTTCAGATTTGCTTTGTCAGCTATGGACATGGAACAGCGGGACTATGATTCTAGAACAGCACTGCATGTAGCTGCTGCAGAGGGTAATACAGGAACTACTACTATCTGTTTTCTTTCCAGATTTAATTTCTACTTAGTACTAAAATCTGCTCTTGTTTTTGGGGGTGGGATGATTTAGGTCATGTTGAAGTTGTTAAATTTTTGCTGGAAGCCTGCAAAGTAAACCCTTTCCCCAAGGACAGGTGAGCACTTACGTTACCTTCTAAATATGTCAGTATTTTATTATGCAGGACTGTAATATTCAAGTGATTATAATATTTAAACCTACAAATACATTCTTGAACCTGCTATGATATCTTATAAAGGCAATAAACTGTGTATTTACTACATAGGTAATTCTGTCTCCCATATCCTGTTTCTTAGCTAAGAATGGTGTCTTATTTAGAAATTTTCAGGTTAGTTTGACTATCAGTCAATACACTGTATGAACAAAACAATTTTTTTTTCTTTTTTTTGCATTTTGGAAGCGAGAATTAGAATTTTATCCTCATGGAGTTTTAAATTTTTTTTTTTTTAATTATACTTTAAGTTCTGGGATACATGCTCAGAACGTGCAGGTTTGTTACATAGGTATACACGTGCCATGATGGTTTGCTGTACCCATCAACCCTTCATCTACATTAGGTGTTTCTCCTAATGCTATCCCTCCCTTAGCCCTGACCCCCCAACAGGCCCTGGTGTGTGATGTTCCCCTCCCTGTGTCCATGTGTTCTCACTGTTCAATTCCCACTTATGAAGGAGAACATGCAGTGTTTGGTTTTCTGTTCTTGTGTTAGTTTGCTGAGAATGATGGTTTCCAGCTTCATCCATGTCCCTGCAAAGGACACAAACTCATCCTTTTTATGGCGTCATAGTATTCCATGATGTATATGTGCCACATTTTCTTTATCCAGTATATCATCAATGGTCATTTGGGTTAGTTCCAAGTTTTTGCTATTGTGAACAGTGCCACAATAAACATACATGTGCATGTGTCTTTATAGTAGAATGATTTATAATCCTTTGGGTATATACCCAGTAATGGGATTGCTGGGTGAAATGGTATTTCTGGTTCTAGATCCTTGAGGAATCACCACACTGTCTTCCACAATGGTTGAACTAATTTACACTCCCACTAACAGTGTAAAAGCGTTCCTATTTCTCCACATCCTCTCCAGCATCTGTTGTTTCCTGACTTTTTAATGATCGCCATTCTAACTGGCATGAGATGGTATCTCATTGTGGTTTTGATTTGTGTTTCTCTAATGACCAGTGATGATGAGATTTTTTTCACATGTTTGTTGGCTGCATAAATGTCTTCTTTTGAGAAGTGTCTGTTCATATCCTTCAACTACTTTTTGATGGGGTTGTTTTTTTCTTGTAAATTTGCTTAACTTCCATGTAGATTCTGGATATTAGCCCTTTATCAGATAGATCGCAAAAATTTTCTCCCATTATGTAGGTTGCCTGTTCACCCTGATGATAGTTTCTTTTGCTCTGCAGAAGCTCTTTAGTTTAATTAGATCCCATTTGTCAATTTTGGCTTTTGTTGCCATTGCTTTTGGTGTTTTGGTCATGACGTCTTTGCCTATGCCTATGTCCTGAATGGTATTGCCTAGGTTTTCTTCTAGGGTTTTTATGGTTTTAGGTCTTATGTTTAAGTCTTTCATCCATCTTGAGTTAATTTTTGTATAAGGTGTAAGGAAGGGGTCCAGGTTCAGTTTTCTGCATATGGCTACCCAGTTTTCCCAACACCTTTCCCAATTGCTTGTTTTTGTCAGGTTTGTCAAAGATCAGATGGTTGTAGATGTGTGCCGTTATTTCTGAGGCCTCATTTCTTTTCCACTGGTCTATATATCTATTTTGGTATCAGCACCATACTGTTTTGGTTACTGTAGCCTTGTAATATAGTTTGAAGTCTGGTAGCGTGATGCCTTCAGCTTTCTTCTTTTTGCGTAAGATCGTCTTGGCTATGTGGGCTCTTTTTTGGTTCCATATGAAATTTAAAGTATTTTTTTCTAATTCTGTGAAGAAAGTCCATGGTAGCTTGATGGGGATAGCATAGAATCTATAAATTACTTTGGGTGTGTGGCCATTTTCACTATATTGACTCTTCCTATCCATGAGGATGGAATGTTTTTTCCATTTGTTTGTGTCCTCTCTTTATTTCCTTCAGCAGTGGTTTGTAGTTCTCCTTGAAGAGGTCCTTCACATCCCTTGTAAGTTGGATTCCTAGGTATTTTATTCTCTTTGTAGCAGTTGTGAATAGGAGTTCACTCATGATTTGGCTCTCTGTTTGTCTATTATTGGTATAGGAATGCTTGTGATTTTTGGACATTGATTTTGTATCTTGAGACTTTGCTGAAGTTGCTTATCAACTTAAGGAGATTTTGGGCTGAGACAATGGGGTTTTCTAAATATACAATCATGTCATCTGCAAACAGAGACAGTTTGACTTCCTCTCTTCCTATTTGAATACTTTTCTTTTTTCTTTTTTTCTTTTTTTTTTTGAGACAGAGTCTCACTCTGTCAGCTAGGCTGGTGTACAGTGGCAAAATCTCAGCTCACTGCAACCTCCATCTTCCAGACTCAAGCAATTCTCCTGCCTCAGCCTCCTGAGTAGCTGGGATTACAGGTGGGTGTCCACCATGGCCAGCTAATTTTTGTATTTTTAGTAGAGACGGGGTTTCACCATGTTGGCCAGGCTGATCTCGAACTCCTGACCTCAGGTAATCTGCCCACATTGGCCTCCCAAAGTGCTGGGATTACAGGCGTGAGCCACTGCACCTGGCCCCTTTCTTTCTTTCTCTTGTCTGATTGCCCTAGCCAGAACTTCCAATACTCTGTTGAATAGGAGTGGTCACAGAGGGCATCCTTGTCTTGTGCCGGTTTTCAAAGGGAATGCTGCCAGTCTGTCGCCCATTCAGTATGATACTGGCTGTGGGTTTGTCATAAATAGCTCTTACTATTTTCAGATACGTTCCATCAATACCTAGTTTATTGAGAGTTTTTAGCATGAAGGCATGTTGAATTTTGTCGAAGGCATTTTCTGCATCTATTGAGATAATCGTGGTTTTTCTCATTGGTTCTGTTTATGTGATGGATTACGTTTATTGATTTGCATATGTTGAACCAGCCTTGCATCCCAGGGAGGAAGCCAACTTGATCGTGGTAGATAAGCTTTTCGATGTACTGCTGGATTCAGTTTACCAGTATTTTATTGAGGATTTTTGCATCAATGTTCATCAGGGATATTGACCTGCAATTTTCTTTTTTTTGTTGTGTCTCTGCCAGGTTTTGGTATCAAGATGATGCTGGCCTCATAAAAGGAGTTAGGGAGGATTCCTTCTTTTTCTATTTTTTGGAATAGATTCAGAAGGAATGGTACTAGCTTCTCTTTGTATCTCTGGTAGAATTCGGCTGTGAATCTGTCTGGTCCTGGACTTTTTTCGATTGGTAGACTATTAATTACTGCCTCCATTTCAGAAATTGTTATTGGTCTATTCAGGGATTTGACTTCTTCCTGGTTTAGACTTGGGAGGGTGTATGTGTCCAGGAGTTTATCCATTTCTTCTAGATTTTCTAGTTTATTTGCGTAGAGGTGTTTATAGTATTCTCTGGTGGTAGTTTGTATTTCTGTGGGATCAGTGGTGATACCCCTTTATCATTTTTTATTGTGTCTATTTGATTCTTCTCTCTTCTTTATTAGTCTTGCTAGCAGTCTATCTAATTTGTTGATCTTTTCAAAAAACCAGCTCCTAGATTCATTGATTTTTTAAAAGGGTTTTTCGTGTCTCTATCTCCTTCAGTTCTGCTCTTAGTTATTTCTTGTCTTCTGCTAGCTTTTGAATTTGTTTGCTTTTGTTTCTCTAGCTTTTAATTGTGATGTTAGGGTGTCAATTTTAGATCTTTCCTGCTTACTCTTGTGGGCATTTAGTGCTATAAATTTCCCTCTAAAACACTGCTTTAGCTGTGTCCCAGAGATTCTGGTACGTTGTGTCTTTGTCTCATTGGTTTCAAAGAACTTACTTATTTCTGCCTTCATTTCGTTATTTACCCAGTAGTCATTTAGGAGCAGGTTATTCAGTTTTCATGTAGTTGTGCGGTTTTGAGTGAGTTTCTTAATCCTGAGTTCTAATTTGCTTGCACTGTGGTCTGAAAGGCTGTTTGTTATGATTTTTGTTCTTTTGCATTTGCTGAGGAGCGTTTTACTTCCAATTATGTAGTCAATTTTAGAATTAAGTACGATGTGGTGCTGAGAAGAATGTATATTTTATTGATTTGGGGTGGAGAGTTCTGTAGATGTCTATTAGCTCTGCTTGGTCCGGAGCTGAATTCAAGTCCTGAATATCCTTGTTAATTTCCTGTCTCGTTGATATAATATTGACAGTGGGGTGTTAAAGTCTCCCACTATTATTGTGTGGGAGTCTGAGTCTCTTTGTAGGTCTCTAAGAACTTGCTTTATGAACCTGGTTGTTCCTGTATTGGATACATATATATTTAGGATAGTTAGCTCTTCTTGTTGCATTGATCCCTTTACCATTATGTAATGGCCTTCTTTGTCTCTTTTGATCTTTGTTGGTTTAAAGTCTGTTTTATCAGAGACTAGGATTGCAACCCTGCTTTTTTTTTGCTTCCCATTTGCTTGGTAAATATTCCTCCATCCCTTTATTTTGAACCTATATGTGTCTTTGCACATGAGATGGGTCTCCTGAATATGGCAGACCAGTGGATCTTGACTCTATCCCATTTGCCATTCTGTGTCTTTTAATTGGGACATTTAGCCCATTTATATTTAAGGCTAATATCGTTATGTGTGAATTTGATCCTGTCATTATGATGCTAGCTGGTTATTTTGCCCTTTAGTTGATGCAGTTTCTTCATAGTGTTGATGGTCTTTACAATTTTGTATGTTTTTGCAGTTGTTGGTACCCCTCATGGGGTTTTTAACAACACGGGGTAGATAAGATATAAACCTTTAGAGAAGCATAAATTTTAAGATGATAATTAACACTGAATGTTCTCTCTTAAGATTTGCAAAGAAGCCAGTGATTGGTGAGGACAGTGATTCGACATTTATGCAGCCGGATTTTGTTTTTAATAATAATGTGAATTTTATCAGCATACAAACTTGCTCACAATATTGAGACATACAAAATGGGAAGGCTTCTAAACAAGCTAAAATGTGTAAGAAAACTTGTTAACTCTAAAATGAATATATTGGAGTTTGTTGAAATTTCTGCATTTGGTTGGAATCAGTTTTAGGAAGGCTTCATGGAAGTTAAATTTTAATCAGTGCTTTGGGGAAGAGACGAGATTGAAGGCACGGAATGAAAAGAAGGGCATTCTATCTGTCATGGGAAAAATATGCCTAGAATACCTTCTGTTCCTCCTCTTTCCCTCCTGGTCGACATAGCAAACTGCTATTCATCCTGCAGCAAATGCTGTCAACAAAGTGGTCAGGGAAGGGATAGAACGCAGCTTACACATACACATGTACAGTAAACTCTAGATTCATATCCTTGGAAATTATGTACTGGAGTGGATGAGTCAGCGAGTAATGAGAATAAAAGTTTAGAATGGGATAAAAAACATACTTGATGGTGGTTTGATATGTATTAGGAGTTTGGATTCATTTGAGAACCAGGAGCTGTATTAAGTTTGGAGCAAGTTGATTACACTTTAGCTATTTTGCCTTTCTGTTTATTAAGCTTTAACTCTTTTTTTTTTTTTTTTGAGACTGGGTCTTGCCTTGCCACTCAGGCTGAAGTGCAAGTGGCATGATAATAGTTTGCTGCAGCCTTAACTTCCTAGGCTCAAGTGATCCTCCCACCTCAACCTCCTGAGTAGCTGCAATCACAGGCACACGCCACCATGCCTGGCTAATTTTTTTTTTTTTTTTTGTAGAGGCAGAGTCTTACTATGTTGCCCAGGCTGGTCTCTAACTCCTGGGCTCAAGCAGCCCTCCCACCTCAGCCTCCCAAAGTGTTGGGATTACAGACGTGAGCCATTAAGCCTGGCCAACTATCTTTTTTAAAATTAGGGCTTGGGTTTTGTTGGTTCAGCTCTTAGCTTGCAAGAAATGCAGAAAACTTATGTCAGTGTCTGACAAATGTTAGCAATTTTGTAAGTGTGCTAATACTTTGGTTATCTAACTTTATTCCTGTAGTTGTAAAAAAGCACCATGATTAAAATGACCTTTATTGGCAGTATTCTAAAACCTCATGTTAGGGTGACATTCTTCCCTTTCCCCAAATTTTAATACCCATCCCAGCTTTCTAGAGCAAGAAATTGAAGAGCATTTTCCTCCTGTGTTTATAATCTCAACTAAAACACTATGTAATACATGTTGGAAATATTACTGTGCTCTGTATATGTAAGTATTATTTTTTTTTGCCCTAAATTGGCCTCTAGGAATATTAAAGTAGATGTACCCATCTGATAAGAAAAAGTGAGCTAAGTAACTTGATAACTAGGCATTCAGCAAGTCTTTTTCTCTATTTCATAGAATCAGTGTCACCTTAAATTATAAAATAGGTTTGAGCAAAATTTGGGTATTCTTGAGATAGAGTCTTGCTCTGTCACCCAGGCTGGAGGGCAGTGGCGTGATCTCATTCACTGCAACCTCCGCCTCCCAGGTTCAAGCAATTCTCCTGCCTTAGCCACCTGAGTAGCTGGGATTACAGGCGTGTGCCACCACACCTAGCTAATTTTTCTATTTTTAGTAGAGAGAGGTTTCGCCATGTTGGCCATTATGGTCTTGAACTCCTGGCCTCAAGTGATGCGCCCCCCTCGGCCTCCCAAAGTGATAGGATTGCAGGCATGAGCCACTGTGCCTGGCTGAAATTAGTGTATTCTTTAACGTTTATATTTTTCATTAATTCACAGAAGAGTTGTAAAAAAGGTAACATGCAGTTGACATTCCATTTTTCCAGAAAGACAGATAATTACATACTATAGAGGATGACTCAAAAGTCTCTTTCAAGCCACTGACTTCCTAAACTAATGAAGGCCTATTCAAAGTCACTTCATTCAGCTGTTTGTTTTGTTTTGTTTTGTTTTTTTGAGAAATACAAAGATAGATGTAAAGTTTTACTTACCCGATTTTAAAAACAGGCTACCAAAATTTACCCAAATATATTACAAAATGAGACTGTTTTAAAACCCTTTTTTTTCCACATTGTGACTCCACTAAGCGGGTAAAAAGTTCAGGACAGAGATGGAAAGGAAAGAAGGAAACAGGAAGAAGTGAAACTAGGAAGGTGGTGACAGTGGCACATGGATGAAGAAAGAGAGATTAGCAGCCATGGAGAATTTTGTAATGTAAGTAGAGAGAGAGAGAGAGGGTAGGAAGACAGGCTTCACTGTTTGTAAAGTGTAAGGGAACTACCTCTTATACCCTGTCATTGACTAGGGCTGTGAGTTATGTAGTTCTGTCTCCTCTTGCAAAAGACTTACCACTTCTGGCAACTCTTCACTTTTTCGTATCCTCGAATTTTCATCGACATCACTCTAAACAGCACAGCCCCAGAAGCATGGAAAGGGGAGTTATTAGTATGGAAAGGGGAGTTGTTCTTCTGCTGGTGTAGTGGTCCGATTGAGTCCATGGGTTCCCAACCTTACCAGAGGTGATAAAAATGTCAATTCCTCTGGGGCCAATCTTGCTCCTCCAATGTGTTTTTGGCCCTAATGGGGTCATGGTTATTGCTAGACTTCTGAGACTTACTGTGGCTTTGAATTGACACAAACACAAATTTTCTGTCAAAGGCTAGAGTGATGGATGTTATATACCTGAATTTTCTTTGAACATTTTATTTTAAAAGAGATACTTTGGGCTTTTCATGAAGCCAAAATTCTGGAACCCTAGAGCAGTCTATTATATCTGTCAACACAAGGACTTTCCTTAAAAAGCTCCCCTACATAAGCACTTGGATGTGTAAACAAGATCCTTTCACAGATCTTTTTCTCTTCCTCTCCATATCCCAACTTGTTTTGGAGACTACTTTTTGAATTATAAATCCCTTTCTGCATTTCTATTATTAATTTTTATTTGTAAAATTGCTAAAATGGCCATTTAACCTGCATTTAAAATCTGGGAATGTGGGGTGATCATCTTTGTACAGAAATTACCTAATGACCCTGTCCATGCTGTGCTACGCGTTTAGGTGGAATAACACTCCCATGGATGAAGCACTGCACTTTGGACACCATGATGTATTTAAAATTCTCCAAGAATACCAAGTCCAGTACACACCTCAAGGAGATTCTGACAACGGGAAGGAAAATCAAACCGTCCATAAGAATCTTGATGGATTGTTGTAATGGTCTCAAATCCCAAGATTTAAATCACTTACCTATTTAATTGTGGAAAATGATTATGAAGACCGTGTGTATTTCTATCTGGTAGTGATGTATATTTTACATTTGTCATTTCAGTGTTACTGGAGTTTTCTTCATTGTGTGCACAGGACAAATCTGATCTCTTTGGGAAAAAATAGAAATAAAACAGTCTCCCTCCATAATGTGAGCAATATTACCTCGTGCATTGTATAATTTGATGTAAAAGAAATAGTTACCAATGCTAGCTTAATTGTGTGGTCTTCCATGATTTATTTGTGTTTTGTGAATCTTCAATTTATGGTGATGATCTGCTGATATGCATTTATAAATTAAGCTCTGTTGTACAGTCTGTCCAAATGGGTCAAGGTTGCCTTTAGAAGCAAATAGTGTGATTTTCAAGACTTCAAATACAAATTTAGTTTGAGTGTTTGAACAACTATGTGCACTTATGGTTGTGTGTTTAAAGTGTCTCTCACCCTAGCTTCACGATGTGACTCTTAAACAAACTATAATAGTTAACAACTGTTAGTAAGATAGACCAATTCTGATTAGACTTTATCAGGGAATCTGTTTAAGATATGTTTGGTGACCAAAACATATGTGTGAATGTAGTTATAATACTTTTGAAAATTTTTCCTTTTTCTATATCCCCTTAGTCCAGCCTCTCTTCTCATTTAGCTCTCTGCCTCTTTCCTTCAGCTGGGAAAGTGAGTGCTGGCATACTATGCAGTTTTTATGTTTTCCATAGTAAGTCAGAAAATGCCTCCTATTTCTGGCATCAGAACTTTGCCATTTGTCTACAGAAGACGAACCAGAAACAAAATTACTAAGTATAAATTAGTCAAGTTTACCAGTCTAAAAAACGAAGGGATGTGCAACCGCAGCTCTTTAAGAAGATTTTTTTTAGCTTCTAGGGTAAAGATAAATTCAGAAATGCTCTAAGCTACCAAAGTTATTCTGAAAGTATGGGAACTGCTACAACTAACATTTGTTTCCAAGCCTGTCATTAAGAGTCTGCACCAAGAGCTTTGTCCTCCTTGGGGGACCATTGGATCATTCCAGATTTCTTGTGATTTTCTATTGTGTAATTCTTGGTGGGCTCTGTAGTTTAATAATAAGAAAAAGGCCATTTCATTTTAAATTGTGATCTCTAATTTTCTTTGTCTTGGGTTGGTAATTCAGGATTCATTTGGAAAGTGGGTAAAAGGGGCTTCAAAAAACTGATAGAACAGGATTTTCTAGGAATTACACATACATTTTATCCTGTCATACCTCGAGATAAAGAGGCATGTTAGTGAGGATTTCTGATATTAAGCACACACACACATGCACACAAATGGACTTCTCTGAAGCTGTGTTTAGTGAAACGAGCTTAAGTACATGAATGTTAGTTGTTGCCACATACAGCAATTTCCTTTTCCTTTTTTTTTCTATGAGCACACACTGCTGCTTCTAAGCTTTACCATGCCTGATGGCACCTTACTCCAGCAGCCTCCAGGTGCGTTCATTTTCACTTCCAGTCTAAGCCAGTGGCTCCAGCCACTGCCCTCCCATTACCTAGATGGCACCTCGTTTGGTGAAACCACGGCCAATGTTCCTTAGCTGCACCAGGCCCAAAGCTGTTCCCACGCTTCAGCTTCCGTGGGGAGGATGGTGAGTGAGCAGTTTCCTATCCTATGGATCTGTCAAGCCATGGAGACAGGTAGCATTTGCAAGATGCTGCACAGGAGCAGCATTATCCCCAAAAATATTACAGGGTAGACATGTTTTAACTGAAATCAATTGAGATAACTTTGCTCAAACAGCAGCGTGCTTTGTGTGACTAAAATGAAACATTAAGACAGTTCAATCGTGTGACTTGAAGATTACCAATGATTTTGAGGCTTTTCTATAATAAAAAGAGGTTCTAACCATTATTTGGGAACAAAGAGAGTTTTCATCTTTTTTCAGATCAAAACCATTCTGTAAAGTCTTTGTTGTTTAATTAAATGTGCCCTTATTTACCCCTGATGTTATTTATGACTATGTGCCGATTCCTGCTCGGGCTGTTTGCTGTTGGCTGGTAATAATATATTTGATTTAAATGCTGTTGACTGTGCTATAAACTGCTGCCGTCAGTAAACTCCAAAGATCTTTTTGTTTTGGCTTTAGTATCATATGTGCTTTTTCTGTATCATGAGAGCTCTATATGGTCATGTTACAGCTTTATATACATTGTTGTTTTTGCTGGTCTCATCTTTGGTAATAAGCTATACCCCACTGCTGCCCGACACTGCCCTTTAGCTGCAGAGCTGGATTAGCTATTGACCATTTGATGCTGTTGTCTGTCTGGCAGGGACTGAATGACCTGATGTCAGATTTAGATTCTTCCTGGGGATTATACAGCTATGAATGTATTTGCTTCTAAAACCTCCCAAAGTGAATCTAATCTTAAAACTACAAGTTGTAAGTATTCTGAAATTGGGAAACATTTATTTTAAATGCAATCAGGTAGTGTTGCTTTTTACAGCATAATAAATATATGTATCAAAAAAAACTGTGTGAAAAAATGAATTTTCTTAAAACATTTAAGAGCCAGGAACTCCACTGAGCATACAGACCATGTCTGGTTGGGTTCCAATCCATTTCTAATGCCTGCTATAAAGCTAGGTACTACGCAAGGTGTCAGATGGGGTTACCACAATGACTAGGACAAGAATCCTGTGTGTAGTTCATCTTTGAAGGTGAGGGATATGCAGGCATGTCTCTAGTCCCCTAAATGCAAACACTATCCTTTTACAGTTAGGAAGTGCTCAGTAAATACTTATTGAATGGAACCATTAAACATACCCTTGAATGAGAGGAGAGGTTATTTTCACAAAGCCTTAAAATTTATTTAGAGAGCTGAACCTAGTACTGCCACACTAGAATCTGAGTGTGACCAGCCAGTAAACCTCAGCTCCTAATTTATTCTGTGTGAGAATAGCATTCGCTTCCAATGCCAGAAACCCCTGGTCTTCAGAGCACTCTTTCCTTTCAGGCCAGGGGTTAGTGTATAGTTTTCCAACCATAGAGAAAGTACATGAATGCCATGACTGTTACATTTTCATTTATCAACGTTATCTGTCACAAAGTAAGTTACTTTGCTAGAAGAGTCACTGCATTACCGGCATTTTAGAACTGCGATGAGCCAGGTAGTATGCAGGGTGACAAGTGGGGTTACCACAATGATTAGAAGAGACATCAGAAATTCTCTAATCTCACTCACTCTTTTATAGATGCAGCTGAGACCCAAGAGTGGGCTGTGATACAGAACTCTTAGGCCTGCGCTGTTGTTCTATGTCCCACAACACTGATTATGCCCAGGTATGGATAGAATATGCATATTAGCTTATTCATATGCACTATCTCCTATTAGCTAAGGCCTCTCCTCTGTGGAGTTTTAGGAAGAGGCATAAATGCTACAACAGAAAGTCCTGCAACACATAGTCAACTTCAGCTATACATATATACATCCATGGATAGGAGCAGGACATCAGTGCAGGCGCAACAAATGTGTGAATAATCCTAAATAGTGAATAGTTATTTTTATTCTTGATACAAGATCATTTTATTTTTGTAGGACTTTTTGAGGAGTTGGGGTAACCTTCCTAATTTTACTTGCTAATCTTCATAGTAAAATGAGTAAATTCATAAATCATACACCAGATGGCCGAGGGAAGCAGCCCATGAATGTGTTAGGTGGCACTTATAAAAAGGCTTTTTGGGAAAGGATAATCTTATAGTTATGCAAGGAAATGATGTGATTCACTAGATTATATGTGTTTGGCAATGGAAAAGATTAGAAAAGGCAGTTTTTTAAAAAGGAGGTATGAGATACAGTAAAACAACTGGACAAGAAGGTATTAAAGGCAGAGACTAGGGGCATTTATTTCTATTCTGGAGAATGAACCAGACTCCAGGCCTGTGTGTGCCTCCACTGTACCCCTTGCTTCCTTTCCAAATAGCCAGTAAAAAGGCTGCTATGAAGTGTGTCTGACAAGCAGTCCCAATGGCAAAAGAATATCAAGACTGTTTCAATTATGTACAAGAAATGTGGAAAGGCTACAGACACAGGTATTAAGGTGTTATAATAGCTTTACAAAATATTATAGGAGAATTCAGAGTTTGATAATAGGTATTTGACAGCTTTCTACCTCTTAGAAAGCTTTATGTTCTCTGTAGACTCCAGATAACGTTAATAAATAAGTTTAAGACTGCTTAAGCCTGCCTCTGTTGTTTTTTTTTTCCTTTTTACAATAAATCAAGCAAGGTATTTAATTTCTTAGTGAGTATAGCAAACACAAAACCCAAAGTGAGTTCACAAAAACTTGGAAGCTGAGGATTATCATTTAAGAGAGAGAAAAGCTCATCTCAAAAAGCTCTAAAAACAATATTGTTTCTCTTCAGCTTTCCTAAAACTGGTTTAAATGTCATTTCTTTGAAATTGTATTTTTTAAATATAACATTTACATTATTTGTAGCTTCTGGCTGTTTGTATCATAAAACCTTGTTTTAATAAGGTGATTGCACTAGAATGTACGATCCAGTGTCTCAGAACATCTTCAGTTCCATAAAAGCAGGGATCTTTGCTTTTGTTTACCAATGTTTCCCAAACATCTAGTATAATGCCTGGCTCATGGCAGGTGCTCTATATAAATTTGATAAATTAATTAATGAATGAATCGTAACTAACCAAAGGAAGCCACTCACATAAATGGTCCTTACTTTGTTAATGCCCCAATTCAAAAGGTAAGTAGAATAATTTTCAAAACACTTTCTAGCTTTTTCCTGTCCTTTCCCTGGGTTAGTCAGTGACAGGACTGCTCTGTTCAGAAAGACTTGCCTTCATATTCCACTTCAGCTTTCAGGAAATAAATAGATTTCACTCATTTCATGCCATCTCAGAAAACCCTCTTTCCTTTAAAATTAGACATTTGTCCTCAGTAGCACACATAAGCTCTATGCTTATAAAACACTTTTCAAACTTACAAACACCACATGAGAAATACTCAAACACACAAATATTCCTTAAGTTAGGATCTACTCAATGACTTCTTATAATGGTTAATTAGGTAAGAATACAAACTTATTAGCCAGGGCATATTTACTTTACTCCTTGGAGAGAGACCACTCTCAGTGTTCACTATAAATAACCTTTGTATTTCCTAGATGTAAATAACAACAGATACGGAGATGAGAATAATCATTCTGGTTATGATGCCAGCATTATCAGGGAATAACACTATTCCATGATAATAGCTAAATACAATTTGCCAGACTATGTCTAACTTGGTGATTACGCCTCTTCTTACCCTTTTTTTCCCCAGTACACAGTGTATTTTACTTTGAGAAGGCCTGGCTTTCTAGCTTTTGACACCTTTGGGAAAAAATGGCAGCTTTTTGTGTGGGTACAATAACTTCTCAGTAATAACTCATCTAATCATGGGGGTGTAGATTTTAGATGACTGCTTTGGAGACAAGACAAAGTCCCATTTCTCATGTATTTTAAAATTAAAAACTGCTAATTTGGGGTATTAGCAATACCCAGATTCATTTTAAAATAAGTGCTGAATCATTTGTATATTTGGAGACAGCTGTGGTCGCAAAGAACCAAAGTACTTTTGTTTGTTTGTTTGCTTTTTATGGCACCTATTATAGCTCTTTCCAATAATATTACTCCTCTGACCTCTTCCATTGACATATCTTAATCTGCCATAGCAATTCTGAGTATGCGTAGGGCAGGTAAGGACAACATTTAGGAAAAGAGTGTTATTAATCTTATTTTAAAATAAGGATTGAGGTACATGAGAAAACCATCAAACTAATTCATAATGTCAGTAATTTTAAGAATATTTATATTAAATACTATTAATAAGAGATTAACAGAATTTTAGAATTTTAATACTTCTTAAAAGTAAAGTCTCTTGGCTAGTGCAGTAAAATGAAACCATGCCAAATTCCCAAAGGGCAAAAAGAACTGACAGCTAAACCTCAGCAATTAGAAACAATATTGTTTTAATGTTGTCTTTGTTTTTTAGTCATTTCAATTGTAAAAGGCAACTGAAACTTAGGTTCTCACCATCTATATAAAAACTGAGAGAGGAGGTCTCAGATTGTGTGCGGTGCCACAGAAAGCACTGTGTGCATATTATATTTAATGCAATACAGATACTTTAGCTTTAATTTTAAAACAAAACTCAAGAAAACTTTATCTCCGCCAAAGAAAAATACAGCATTTGCACGATAATATAGTTGTGGTAGCAACAGTGGAAAAACAAGGTACAGCCACATAGACAGCAGTATGTGAAAGGGAAGAACCTTGTCAAACCCATCTCTTAATCTACTTTTTGTGTCAGTGATTAGGAAGGAAAAAGGTAAAAAATACAGTATACTTCACAAAACATCATCCATTCAAAAAAGTGTCTGGAAAAAGCACAGGAAAGATAATGGAACCATTCACAAATGTAATTGTCAGAAAAACACATATATCAGCGAAATACATGCAGTTCTCAATGCAGTTACATAGGAAATGAGTTTTGAAATGATCTGATTCTCATATTATCTCTGGTCAATGATTCAAGTTGTCAGTTACTACTTTTTCTACTCCTTTCCCAATTTTGTGGCTAATAGACTAAACACCACCCTAATTACAAAAAAGACAAAATAGCCCATTTAAGAAACATGAATTAAATTTCTGAGTTTATCTACATCTATGATTAATTTCAACTTTTGAATGAGTGGTTGTGAATAGCCTAACTCCCTTGGTAGAACTGTAAAAATAATTGTATGTGACCAAGATGAAAGCAGAATGTATTCAGCTTTGGATATCAAACACAACTTGTGAATTTGGAAATGTACATCCTTCAGTTGATACTAGCCAGTGTCATTAAGCCATAACAACAGTAAAGCTCATATTCTCTCAAGAGACAGAATTTGTCTTTGTCTTTAAATAGCCAATGTGAAAGATGTAATAAAATACACAACATTTTCCCCCTACCAGATGCATGATGGCTACCTTTGAAAGAGGACTGATATAATTGTATATAAACTTGGCTTTGAACTATTTCACAGGTGAACCAATGAAAAACTGCCAGTCACACTTAAAGCAAAGAGAACACGTAAGAATTCTCCCACAGAAATTTACCGTTCCTGCGTCAAGCAGTTCCCTAAATAACCATTGATTTATCCAACAACCTATAACAGTTGGGCACTGACTTTATGCATAGCATTTGCTAGATGTTGCTCAACTTCTCTTCCCAAAGGACCCTCATTCTCGTCCTGATACTTTGGGTGTATCTGGATGTTTTTCACTTGTGAAACCCACTCTTCAGAGTATGCCTTTCAATTTTACCTTCAGTAAGATGCATGATGCCCTTCAGAGTAACTGATGTTTCTGAGTTAGAGAAAAATTCACTTGCTATCAACAGGTTGCAGCGAATTTGCGAGCCTTTCTTTCATTTCCCTAGAAACACAGGATGTGAAGGAACAGAGTAGCAGGAGGGAATCACAGATGAG